CCTTCTCCGCAGAGCTGCTCCCCAGCAGGTCACCCCCAAGCCTGCGCTGGTGCGTGGGGTTATTCCTCCCCAGGTGCAGGACCCTCCACTTGCCCTTGTGGAACCTCATGAGGTTCCTCTCTGTCCAGCTCTCCAGCCTGCCCAGCTCTCGCTGAACAGCAGCACTCCCTCCCAGCGGGAGCGGCACGGAGGCAGCTCCTCCAACAGCCGTGGCAGACACGTGAATTCAAAGAGCCTTCCCTGGAAACCCTTGGGCCCTACGGCTTGTGGCACGCATCCCGCACAGACGCGAGGGAGGGGAAGGTGCCGTGGCAAGGCCGTGTCAGCTAAAAGTGCCACTGTTAAGGAGATAACACTTGGACAGGGCGGTAGTTCTTGGGTTAGCTTCTGTTCACAACTGATAATGGCACTTGCTGCTGCTCACTTGTGGCTCAAGGTTCAAGCAGCTTTGGGGTTCACTTCAATTAAGAACAGAGCCAATTTGAACTAGTTCTTGGTTCGGTTCCCTGGTTTCAGCATCATCCTCACCCTGATGCCGAATTCAGCTGGATGATGCAGATCTCGTTTTGTTGTTCAACATGGAAAGAAAAAAAAAAAAAAGCCAGTTTCCCCAGAAAAAGTGTTGAAAAGTTACAGTTTCTGAAAGACAACCTGTTATTTGAAAGAAAAGGGTTTAAGGAAAAAAAAAAAGAACACAAATAAAACAGGGGAACTGATTTCCTAGATTAGATATGAAGAACGCAGATTTGTTTACTGTATTTCTGTACTCTCTACCAAAACAGTTATCAAGTCCTTTCTAAAAAAAAATGTATTTTAAAAACAAAAAAATCAAAAATCAACCCAAAAACCCCCACAACTACTTTTTAGGGCAGCCTTAGTTGAAATCTTTCTTTTGCACACGAACCCTCATGAAAGCCAAGGTGCAGCAGCAACATTTTTCTAAGGAAACCCCATGCCACCTTCCTTTCTGGACTGGTCATACAAGAATGACATTACCTGGGCTAAAGGCTTTGAACTGGGATCCAGCTTACTCCTATGGATATCAAATTCCGCACGTTTATGCCAAAATCTCCAAGCATCTAAAAGATTCCTGTAGTTCTCGATCCAGTACTGAACCCTCTCATCCTTAAGTACATCCGACGGAGAACCCTAAAGCGGGCAGGAAAAGAGGTCAGGCACACACTGAAGATACACAACACCTCTTAGTCGCTTTTTCAAACGGCTTTACAAGGCGTACTACAAAATATGAGAAATAACATGGTGTCATTTGTCTAGAAAAAGATTCATTTCTGTTAAACTGTAATGCGAGTTTGAGAAAAATTTCCTTCCGCGTGCCCCTCTGGTTGAAAACACTTGTGCTGCCATCTCCTCCTGAAAACTCGTGTCTGTCAGATGAAGGACTGTAGAATTCTGTCCCGTGTCTCGGTCTGTATCACTGTCACGACTACACATGCACTTAAACACACCCCGGCAACAGCCGCGACTCTGTAAAGGCCAAGACACGTCCATCATTAAAAAACCCCCAAACTCAGCGCCTACGGACAAACAAAAACCTCACCTCAGTTCTCTATCGAAATCCTGGAAGCCAAAAAAAACCCACGAACCCTTCAGGACACACCCCAGCAACAAGGGGGAAATGGTTATTCCCAGTTCAGCCAGTGAGAAGGGCTACGTTTGCTTTCCGCCTCTTTCCCCCACTGTCTCCTCAACCAGAGAGCGCGAAGACACACGTTCATAGCTAACACCGAGTGCTTCACACGATTCTGCATGACACAAATTGTCACAATTTACTACAGAAAATGCTTTTTAGTTCACAAGGTTCCGCACTCTACGGCTAAAGAAACTACGTTTAGTTCTCTAAAGGTTCACTCTCGAGTGAAACACGAACCTGTAGCATGCAATAGCTGGCTGTCTGGACATCTCCAGTTCTGTCAACGTAACTTTCCATCAAGTCAACTCCGTCTTTTGTCAGCCCCGTTAACAGTATCCCCTCCAAATTCCCCGCATCTTTCATTTCATTCGTCAGCTTTTCAATAAACCTGTTCAGCTACAAAAAAAAAAAAAAAAAAAAATTATTTACTTAACCTCTGCCGTCTGTTCATCCCTTCCCAACTCGTTATGTTGGCACACGACAAAACTTTTCATGGGCTGAACAGCCTGCTGTAAGAGCGTCTGCTGCTCACAGAATATGCTGCTGGCTGGTGTTACACACAAAAAGTTATATGGCTGTACCCACTATATTGCAAGAATTCAAGTATTTATCAACAAACTCTAAGCCTCAAGTAAGGAAGTGCAAAGAGGGAGGTTATGTGTTCTTTAAATACTTCCGTGAGTTTAGAAGAAAACATTCTGGCTGTAAAACCAAGCCTGAATTCAAAAGAATGTAAATATCTGGAAATAAATACTCAATAAGTAATAAATACTCTCCAGTAAAACAGACATACAGGTAATGCAATAGCACTTCACAAACAAGCATGCCACGAATCCTAATAAAAAAAACCCAACCAAACAAGAACAAACCACCACAAATCAAGCTCAAGGTACCAACCGAAGCCCGGATGACACCGTACCTTGTACCCTACTGTGATGAGAAGGGCCAAACCACTCAACTCGCTCCTTCCACTGTTCGCCCCTCCACCCGAGTCTCTCCCACCTCCAAATAACGCCCAGCTCAACAGTTTGCTGAAAGGCGCACCCACAAACTCACCTGAGCGTCGTTGAGGAACTTGCAAGCAAACGCCACTCGGTCTCGCACGGCCACGTTATTTTCATACTTTGGGGAGAAAAACGGGAGGGTTACCATCGCGGGCAAGCCGCCCCTTTTCAGTAGGCTGGCTGTAAGAGACCACCCGCGCTACGGCGTGACGGGTACAGGGGAATCGAGCACGTACAAAGGAAACGTCACCCCTGCAGAAAGCCAGCCCTGAACGTCAGCTCAGTGGGTTGTTATCAGCTCGAGGTGTCGGGGCGAGACGGCGGCTACCGGGACAGTGTACCGGAACGGCAGGAAGGCTGGGGACAACACGCCCTGCCTGGGTTAGGAAACTCCCGAAAAAGAAACTCTGCAAGTCGTGTGGAGCTGGGCTTAGTGCTCCTGGCACGTACGGCCAGGGGCCGCACCGAGTCACAGGGGGAAGCAAAAGAAACCAACCTTCATTTCAGAGGTTTACAAAACGACCAGCCTAACCGCTCCCTTCCTTCCTCAAAATCACAACTACACGTTAATACACAAAACAAACAAAAAAAAACCCCAACCAAAAACTAACTCCGAACACCCAGAACACAGATTTCTCACAGGTATATTGGCCCTCGAGGTGCAGCAACACAATAATATTTACTTTCTGCTTTTTCATCCCTTTCCTAGATGCAACGAGGAAAAAAAACCTCCTTGAGTAGATTAATTCTGGTCCGTAGCCGTGCCCGTAGTTTTCCCTCCTGATATTCTCAGAATAGAAATTGTGATTGACGCTGCCAAAACCAAGGAGATGTGCTTGGCAAAATCTTTTTCATGCAAAATTCAACAAGTCTCACTGAAGTAAAAATTAAAATTAAAAAAAAAAAAACCCACCTTATGAGCTGTCAGTTTCCAATTCATTACTAGAAAACAACTATAAAATTATTACCTATAAAATTATTACCTAACATCCAGAGAACAAGAACATTCTCTCCCAAAGAGAGAAAAAAAGACTCAGGTTTCTTTCCTCTGGGATTCTTACCTCGTTTTTTTTAAAAGCATCGTATTATGACAACTTTGTCTTCAACAGGCTTAGGCCAATTACCCTGTTGCGTTACAGGAGTCCTCCCTTGGGCTACAATATTCCTACTGAATCAAGTATTTCTGTCACTCTCTAACCAAGGATCAAGTATGTAACTCCTCCAGAGGCTCAAATTATCTCATTATTAAAGATTTAGCTCACTCTTCACACGGCAATTTTATACCAACTTCAGAAGATGCTGAACTACTCCGTTTACTGTTTCATCGCAGTGAAATTTTAATGAGTAAACACAGAAAACCAAAATACACTTCAACGCAAATAAAGCTTGATCAAAGTTCGGCAAGCTGGTGCATTTCCATTATTAACCTCTCTCCTCCTTTTTCCCCCCCTCACCTAAATTAATTTGAGAAGGTATTTCTGGTGGTTCAGTAACTCCACGCTAAAAGAAATTTCCTCTAAAAAAAAATAATTGCATGAACTGTATTGTATGAGTTGGCTGCTTATGCCTGTCTTGTTCACTAACGTAACATTCACTAACAGGAGATGCCTGTTTAGCAGAAAAAAAAGTTACCTGCAGCACTGGGAGCAAAGAATACACCCTCCTCCGATTCCCGAGTCCCTTGCACCTCCCCTACAGGTGTCTGTATATACACACGCACCTATTCCTGAAAGGAACGTTACCATAACAGAAATTTACTCACCAAAACACCGTCGTATGACCCCGACTCGCTTGTCAGGAAGGCGAACATGGCACACAAGTAGGGGTTGTTCAGCTGCAGCCGCAGAGTACTGCACATTTCCCTCCAAAGCGAGTTCTTCTCGTCTGTGTAGCCCGACAGAGCCATTGCTACCACATTAAGGTTCAGATCACCTGATGTATTAAAATCAACCCGTGAGACAACATTAAGGACTCACCAAAAAATCCCATTAAAACCGCCAATTGAAAGCATCAGTTTGAAACCGAACGTTTTGCCGGGATGCAAGACAAGATGCGGCAGAGCTGACGCCAGCTCACACAACTGGGCGCGCGCTCGGCTTCGCCCGTCTCCGCGTTAGCTCCTCTGTTCAGGAGAGTTAACAGCCCCAGAAGTCACCAGCCCACGCGCCGGATGGCCTGAGTCCTACTTGAAGCAACCTCACAGTGGTTCTGGTATTTTGGAATCGTTTTGAACGGCTAGATGTGTTCCTATTGCTGCCACAGAAGACGGTCTTTGCCATAATTCACATCCACAAGACAGGAAAAGACAGGATTGGACAGCCAGCCGTCACTCACAGGCCTAGCTGGAGGATGGCAACTGCACGTAGCAGCTTCAAGTTAACAAGCTTCCTAAAAACGTTAAATCTACCTCATCTAAATATTCCTTCTGTCAGAAAGTTGAGTTTTATTTCTGAATTTGAAGAGAGGGTGGCTCTGGAAAGCACACACGCGCTTCCCCCCCCACCACAAAGGGGCAATATTAAAACCAGAAGAACCGTAACAGCTCCCTTTGTGTCTCGCCTACCCACGTCAGTGGCAAGAGAGTCTTAATTTTAGGAGCAGGACGCAGACGCAAATCGGAGTTGCAGGAGGAATACTGCCAAGGAAACGGAACAGAAACGCCTCCATCTCCCGGCTCCGCTGTCTCAGCTCTCCCCTCACGCAGCTCTCGCCAAACAACACTCCAAAACCAAGGTTTTCGGCAGACCCCGGATATCCCACGCCAGTTATTCCACAGCCCTCGCGCTGGCAGAGCGCTGCCAACAGCCCGAGGGACGCAGATACACCTGACCTCTAGGCAGGACAACTCCATTAAACAAACGACTCCCGCCAGTTCCGAGTGTAACGCCTCCTGGGGCGCCTCCCGAGAGGAGAGCCTGAAATACTCTGCGTCACCCAGGCGGTAAGGCACGTGACAGTCTGAGCCGCGGAAGAGGAGGACTGTCGTCTTCAGCCTCGGGTGGATTCTCAGGCTCAACACAACCACTTCAAGTGACCATTTTCTCAGACAACAGGGATCTTTTCCATACTCTCTTCCACAGTTCTCTCTACAGAAACCTACTGAGGGGATAGAACGCCAAAAGAAAAGATACTAAACGCCACACGCACCTTTTCCCGAGGAAGCCCCTTTATTTAGGATTTGTATGGCTCGCCGTATGTCCAGGTTGAAAAGCGCTACAGCAGCGGCTCGCTCCCAGTCTCCCTCCTGTTCCAAGGAATTTAGAAAAGGTTCCACATCTAAGTCTGTTCCCTTCTTGATCCACCCGCAGAGCTGCAAAGCCAAGGACCTCTCCTCGCTCAGGTACTGAATAATATCCGCCTGTCTATCAGCTCCGCTCCGGCTGTGCCTGAGGTTCTCTGTTGTTCCTGGAAACGGGAAAGAAGTTACACGATGCTGAAATCACCCTTTAAACGGCAACCGCGACGCAACGCTTCGATTTCAACCCAAAAGCAGAGCACAAAAGCCGAGTATCGTTATTTTAGTCCTTTAACCTCACTAAAAACTCCACGGTAAGGCGCAGCGTGCTCAGAATTATTTCGATCTGCTAAAAATCAGGCACCTAAACTTGACACGTGTTGCCCGCCCGGTCCTTCTGCCCTCTGCCTCCTGCGGCGGCTCTTGTACTGGAGTCACCAGTACGTCCCATTTGAAAACACCCCACGCACAGTCAAGCACCCGCTCTACCAGTTCCGTTCTTCCGAGCAAGCGCCAACCTGCTGCAGCTTCCCCACCACTGAAGAGTTTATTTTTTTTTTTTCGCTCCAAGGAGCATAAATATTACCACGACACATAATGAAGAGAGAAGGGAAGGTTCAAATACTGGATCGTACCAATAAAAACCGCCCCGAGCGGGAGAGGCGCCACGGGGCGCACCAGGGCTGCTCACCGCTTCAGAACAGGGCAGCTCAGCGAGCAGAGCGCCGTGTCAGAGCAAGGGCAGCTTCCCAGGACTACGCCCGACTCCAAAAAAATGGAATAGTTACGTGGGGAGCAAGAATTTTCAGCGCCACAGCCAAAAGGCAAACGTTCCAAACAGCTCAGCGGAAGGTTTACCTCTGTGGATACCGCGTCTGTACGATTACTGACTTCCCAGGAACACTGAACATTCTGGAAATTGCTGTCGTAGGAACTGTTAGCTTACATATATTAACACACAGACAGAAAGACTTTGTTTCTCTGTTTTTAACAGCCTCTTTCAGCAGTTTCTTTAAAGACAAACCCACGAGTGCATCATTCCGCAAACATACAACAACAGAACTTAGCGAAGTTGGAACATTCTTACCCAAAGATGACTTCACAATTGATTTAATGCCAGCATAAACTAAGGGACCTTTGTTTCCCGTAAGTTTTTGATCCATATCTTCAGTGTACTGCTTCATAAGTATTTTCATGTATAGGAAGCTTAATTTTTCCCAAGTGCTTGAAAAACTTTTTTGGTTTCAATTTAAAGTCACACCCTCTCAACGTATGCAAAGCATTCACAGGATGCTGCGATATATTTAAAGGTTTTCATGCATTCCCTAGAACTGGTTTACACACAGAGGTGTCTTAACTCCCCTAGGATGTTAAACTACAGTAAAAGAAAGGATATAATGCAGAGTGTACCAAAGGGATTTCAGCTGGGGATCTTCATTGCCAGCTAGGAGGTGGTTTCTCCAAACTTGTTCGGTATCAAGGCCGTACCTTGACAGCGCTCGGAGCCGCATTTTGGTGGCTATGTCTTTTTCCAAGGAACTAGCCTTTCCTTCTTCTGTGCACTCATATAAATGACGCCCACAAGCCCACATCAAGGACGTCACCGGACTCCACGCCAGCGAAATCCTTTCAAAAACGGTGAAGTCAGACATAGTCCTGTTGGGAGTCACCACCACCATTCGGTTTTGGCTGGTGGGATGCCAGGCAAAGGAAGCAATGTAGTTTTCACACGGCTGGACGCTTCTTTCGATTATTGTTGGCTCCGTTTCGTCTCCGATGGGGGTGGGAGTGTGCTGCATGTCGTACAGCCTGATGATGTTGCTGTCTCTCGTTAAAGTAGCCAACAGGCCAGTTCTGGTCGGACACCACGCAACCTTTGTTAAGGGCTTGGGTTGCTCCGTCAAGGTCAAAACGGGCTTCTCAAACTTCCTTAAATCCCATATGGCAACCTGACCTTCATAGAAGGAAGCTACACGGTCGTGGAAATAGGGATCGACAGTCACTCCTTGGACAGCCTTGGTGTTCACAAATATTTTCTGGCTCGTGTTCCTCAGATCAAAGATAGCCAGATTCCGATGCATCCCAGCTAAAAGCAGCTTCTGATCCCGTGGAAGCCAACAGAGAGAGAGACAAGCATCGTTCTGTCCCAGTTCATACAGTGGCTTTGTTACTACCAGTCCTGCTTCCGGATCTCCCGCTGAAAGCCTGACTTTCTCCGTAGCCACCGCCGTCTCCGGGGCGTATTTGCTACTGATATCCCAGATCAGCACCGAAAAGTCGGCCCGATGTTTGTCCAGCCCAGCAGCCAGCCAGTTACTATCGAGCGGGTTCCAGGCGAGGGTGTTGCATTGCCGGGCGTGCTTGGGCACGAACTCTTTGCCTATCAAATCTTTAGATTTCGAGTTGTGATCCTGACCGAGGCTCGTCAGTACCACCCGGCCGTTGGCCTGTCCCACAGCCAGGAGACATTCGGGATCGTACTTCGGATACCAAGCCACGCATTTCATGTAGGGCGTGTCCGAGTTGATGGACAGGAGCGTGGCCGTCGTCTCTTCCGACAGCCGCAAGGACCCCGCCTTGAGTTCCGAACTCACGGCGGAGTCGATGTGGTAAAGGCTCAATTCCGAATCGCACACCACGAATCTGTCCACGTGGTGCGGGGCCCACAGAATATCGGGTTTGGAGCCGCTCATGTTGAGGGGAAGCTCAGCCGCCACTTAAGCTCGCGTCAGAAGGTTCAGGTGATATCCATGCACGCGGAAACTGCGGAGAAAACAATTTGTAGGAGTGTTATCAAACCCCAAACTCCTTTGTAATCCGAGATCATCTTTAAACAAACAAAGCTGTGGTTCTGAATGACTTTTAGCCCAAGGGTTTAACACGAACCCACATTTCAGGCCAAAACCTTGAGCATTCTCTGCGCTACACCGCTTTTGTTTCTACTGGTACACACCTCCCGAGGCAGACCCAGCACAGCCACCCACCCACAGACACCAGGATTCGCTGTGTTTACCAACTCCACGCCCGCAGGAAGCATGAAGGGATTAACCCAGACGCGATGTGTGCGGGTGCGCTGCTGGTATGGAGCCGCTCCCTAAAACACGGAGAACAAAATTTCGCTGCCTGCCCAGTTGAACCGCACTGACTGACGAACATTAGAGCCTCTTTCGTCTGACGCCTGTCCCAAAGCCTAGAAAGGCTCTTTGAAGATTTCCACAGAAATACAACTTTCCCCTCCTCATTCTGCTGCTCCTAAGCCCGCCTTCTGCCCCAACACGACCTCGTCTTCGTTTGTATTTGCCCCGGCAGCGCTCCTCAGCGCACGCCGCTGTTCAATCCCACTTACACGCCCAGCATCTGCCCGCTCAGGGGTGTTACAGGTACCGCAACACCCCACAGCCCCCAGAAACCTCTTCTGTAATGGCAGAAAGGGATATACCAGGCTGGCAACCACGTCAGGTGGGGCGTTATTTCCTCCTCTGAGGCTCTGCTGCTCACCCCCGCAGCCGCGGGGTCCTCCGGGGCCGCAGCCC